AGGCCATGGCGGTCATGGAGGAGGTGGCCACGGGGGCGACACGGAGGAGGTGGCCACGGGGGTGGGGATTATGGAGGCGGAGGACACGGAGGCGGAGGCCATGGCGGTCATGGAGGAGGTGGCCACGGGGGCGGCGGTCATGGCGGAAGTTGGCATGGACATGGGGGAGGTGGACATGGAGGAGGTGGTCACGGAGGTGGTCACGGAGGTGGTCACGGAGGTGGTGGACACGACCATCATTGGGTTAGCAGTTATGGTGGTCACTGGTAGTAAATATTATGAGAACGTACTATGTTACTTGTTGCTTTAGTTCCAGTGGACTTTTTTGGGTATTATGTAATGTTTAATTTTTTGTTTAAACCATCGAGGTTTGATCTCAAAACGTGTTGTACCGTTCTATTTGTTTTTCGTTAATTTTTATTGTAAAATTTAAAATATTATGCGTATATCAGGTATGTGTTGACTAACAATGTCAAATTTGGGCTATCATTTAAATCAATATTACTGTAGAGTTTGTAGTTCTAATGTCTTGAATTGATTTTACTGTTTCTATACAATGTTACACTTTAACCAAAAACGTCATGAAATGAAATTATGAATGCTTAGCAAGGTTTATATTTGTAGTACAATGTTCTCTGTTGCAAGTGTGAATGATGAATTATTGTTCTTAAAAGCTTAAAGCTCAGAATATAACTACAGATTCAAATATTAGTTGTGGTGATAATTGAACGCAGTAGCTGTGAAAGAAATGATTCTATATACGAACTGGATTTATATTGGTCGTACTTGTTATGGTTATAAATGAATATCTACGAATGTCATCAATAAATACCAATGTTGGACCTATCGCAATCTCATTCAGCGTTTTTATGAAATTTAAAAGAAGTAGGGAGATTAAAATTAGTGTAGTGTTGTCTCTCCAGATTTGTTTTGTTACGTAGAACTATTCTGTGTATTTGAAAGAGCGTCATTAATTAACGTTAAATTCGGTCGTGGCTTCATGTTTCGTGATTTTCGATAGTGATTAAAAATATGCTTCATTATTCGTGTTATATTCGAAGAACACAACATGAGTGCAAATAGAGAGGAATATTACTGTCCGTTCGTCCATAACAACTGAACGGAGTCCAGTTAATATTCTGAATTTGGTTTACTTTGCCTAGAAATAAGAAACTTCCTTGTAGAGGCTATTTCAAAAACCCAGCTCAGAGCGATCGACTTGATTATGAAGGTAGCATATGCCTCTGAAACGTCGGTAATCATACACGAAACTACACAGCGCTGCAGACCCAGAAGACAGTCATCCTCACACTCGTCTCCCAGAACTTGAAGTCCTATTCAGAAAACAGGAGAGCTGGTAACAGTGCTCTGTTAGACACTTAATAGATGCAGTGGTCGTGGCAGAATCTGTTCGCCTTGAATGGTTTATTTCGTGTCGGTGCACTCATATTGCTATCTTAATATCTCGGTTGGAGGGGAGAGAACTTGACAGTGTTTTATTGAACAGATTTAATTTTAATTTTCTAGTGCTTCCTGTCTGGTGTTTGTGGGCTCCTGTTCCCTTTTATTTGACCTTATTTTCTTATTACAAATTAACCCGTCTGAATTTGTTCATTTTATTCCGTGAACTTGAGATAAAGGGATCTCCGTGGGACGAGAAGTAACAAAGTGATAATTTTCGTGTGGCAAAAACACAGAGAACTTCATCATAGAACAAGACACGCGTCGAGTATAAGTAATGTGTCTTAATTATGTCGGATGGGCGTATAATTACACAAGACTAGACTCGACGTGAGGTTAATATTCAAATAATTTATGAGACCATTTCTAGAACGTTGTAGCTCGCCGAACTCTTTGAAGCTACAAGAACGATATATTTTTATAACGTGGTGTTTATAAGTTTACACACGTCATTAGTGTTGTTCATATTTTGCAGATATTTATTTGTGAGTAGGCGAAATGATGATAATGTGAGAAGATGTAAGTATTTCTAATCTTTGTTAAAAGTGATTATACGAGGTGTGTGTTGCTGCTTAATGGTGGTTAATGCTGGTTTTGTATCGTCGGACTCGACCCTGAAATAACTCCTCCATTTGGCCCCCATTAAAACTGGACAATAGAATAATCTGTAAACGTGAGTTACATAGTAATTCTCCCGCTTATTCTCTTAAGAACAACTCTGTCGCCTCAATCTGAGGATTCGATCAGAGAACCTATTCTAAAATATAGTTGCTTTCTAGTCTTCAACGTCACTTCCCATGACATCGTCAATCTGTTTTCAACGTAAGACCAGCCATACTTCGTTATTTCGTAATGTACTGGGTTCACGTATAGTAACTAGTAGTCTGAGTTTCAGTATCTGATAGCTTAAGCATGTAATACTTCAAAGAACCACCTAATATGGATTTCCAAACAAAAGGAAGTAACTGATTAAACCGGCTGATCATTGACTCGGATGGCTTCCTTATGAAGCCTGGTCGTATTATAGGAAGCCCCACTATGGCATTCATTGTCAGGTTAGATTAGCGGCAGTGAGTCTAAACTCTGTGAAGATTGCTTTAGAGGATATTTAAAGACGCTGATTGAACCGCAGATTTTTTAGCGTCGAATGACAAGGGTGATTAATTTGGAACGAATACGGAAACTGTCACCAGTCTTCTCAAAGTAACAATTTACAACTACAGTAACGTGGCTTCTCCTGTATCGACATTATGATTTTAAAATTAATAATTACGTTATTCTTTCTGAAAAACTATTAGCTTTTCACGAAGAAGTTGGTTTCTTAATTAGTCAGTCGTGTTATGTGTATGTTGGTTGCTCAGTTAGCTAGTTGATTAATTGGCCGTTTTACTATTATTTTAACTATGTTAAATACTCTCTCTCTCTCTATTGGGGCAGCAAGGACTTCTGAGACGTTGGAAAACTTCTGCCATTCTACACGGCGCCACAACTCTGAAGACTGAGAAATTCAGTAGAACATTGTGTTTCTGACACCCCGAGCAATTATGAAATCATCTTTGTTCTTGTTACGACCCATTTTTCACTACAAAAGTTGCAGAATCTATAACTCCTTTGATGAAACAGTGGGCGGTCAATTTCTCGACAAGAAATGACTCTGATGATTCAAATGGAAATATAATATCACAGTAATGAACGTTAACATTTTCAATAACAGTAGATTAAAGCTGAGGTCTGTATGTATGATGGTAGTTTATATTTAAACTACGATGTATTCATACCAGATAAATATTTGCATTTTATGTTTTCCATATCCGACATATCTTTGAAAATTATATCTTACATTACCATTAAAAGGAGGTAAGAGTGGGGTCTGTAGATCACATTCATAAAAGTATGTTAGGTCATACTAAATTATTACGTACTATCATAAAAAATGTATTAAATTCGAATATATTTAGCATTTTATACAGAAATAATGGTATTTTAATTGTAGATTTAAACATTACTGCGACAAAAGAAACTGGCTTGATAAATATTTAATTTGCGTAACTATTTAAATAAAACTAATTAACTTACTATTCAACAGATAAAGTGAAAGATATTTTAATAAATAATTTTCTATAAGTATTTAATTTACTACGTAACTGATAAGTTAAAAAATAACTAAAGAAATGACAGGTGACGTAAACCACTCTCTTAAAAATAAAGTTAAGAAATCTGCTGATTAATTAACGGACTCTCAATATAACTTATTCTTATTCTTGTGTTGGTTCTACAGTCATTGAGCGACCTTGGCCTCAATACGCATGGAAGGTTCATTAATCCATTTAGGCATTTAGTAAAAATTCCTTGGACAAGTGTCCAGCCTCTTAATGTAACAAGCCTACAAAGAAACTAACCAGAGGAATCAATGAGTAATCACCTAGTTAATCAACGAACAAAACAAATACTTAACCTTGAAATTAAAATGTAGAGGTATCGGTACATTGCAGAAAATTAGCAACAGAAAATCAAATATATATATATGTATATTGATTGTATTAAATAATTTAGACTTATACAGGCCATTATCTCACACAGCAAGTGCACTGCTTACGTCTCGAAGCTTAATTCAGCTATTCCACATTCTGTGGTCCAGAAGTTTCCATACTTAATCTACAACAGATAGCGCATGAGGAAGTTTGTGTAATGCATTTTTTATGACGTCGTAGTGATCTTCAGTTCTTGGTGCAGTATCGGATTGTATTTATGATTAATTTCGAGCCACGATTGAAGGCGTTATAATTATTTATTTCGATAACTATAAAGGAAACTGCATATGAGTTTGTGCTGTTATATTTTGTTTTACAGACGTTCATGTGCCAAGCTGTAAACAGCAAGACGAAGCCATAAGTTCGTCGAAGTAGAGAGTATGTCATGCTATTATTCGAAGTTGTATTTCGGAAGATGTACTAAATTCGATAATCCCACGGGGTGTCCCGTGAGTTTTACTCATGCGGTTTACAGAACAAGGCCGTAGATTAATAATTGCAATTGTATTATTCTCATTTCTTATTCAATATGACTTGTTATACGTTAATGTTTTAAAATTTGAATTTCATATGTTTTAAATATTTGTATCCACTGTACTATACAGAGACAAACAATGTTTGGATAAAGTCACAGTTCAGTATCACATCTGAGCGGATCCCGGGATGTTCCTCACTTTATTCAAGTGTTCCTGCAATGAAACACTGTACGTCAGAACCCATCTCCGTGGATAATAGCATTGCATTTACATTGACTGGCAATGGTTTTGAATTGAGGCATCTGAGTGATTCTAAATAGGATTAACACGCGTTAAATCTATATAAATATAGATTTACTAAATACAGTGGAAAGTTTATATACAGGAGAACTGAAATTACGCATGTATAAACAGTTGACGCTGCTTAACGTTCCGATATACCGGGTAAATGACAGACTGACAGATTGACGGTACAATTATCTGACTTAATAACGAGCTGACTTGTTAATTAAGAAAGTAAATATTTAATAATCTAACTTGTTAAATAACTGACTCGTTTACAGTCTAGCTGGTTTCCTTGCTGACAAGTTGGCTGACCGGCTAACTGATGGATACTCTGCGTGTCTTAGGGTTCTGCTGAATAAATAAGGGAATACTTGTCCAAACAAATATGTTACTATATGACTGATTGACTCACCACATAACTGGCTTAGTGGCTAATTGCATTAATTATTTAGTTATTTAGGCTTTTACTGAACATTATTCCTAAAAATCCTCTGTGGTATCGCTAATTTCCGGCAAGAATTTCAAACCTGGGACGTCACTTTAGTAAGAGAAACTTTCCAGTAAACAAGACAAGGGTTTTATCTATTAACCAGACTGCAATCCTACGACTGACAAGTCTTGTTAAATTCCACAAAATCCTCTCGGGCGATCAGCCTTGTCAATGCTGAGTTACAAAGACTCGCTCTGTCCCTGCCATCATCACTGACACGGTTGATCGCCCGAGAAGATTTCGTAGCATTCGTTCGCCGTGAAAGTTTCAAATCTCACAAAGTCTTGATACTGATAATCCCGAGAATCCAGCATCTGTCCATAGAGCTGTGCTTCTAGGGGATTCCCCTGAGAATGAAGTACACCCGCAGATATTACCGCGCTGGAAAGCGAGTGTCCCCATCTCACCGAAGTTGAGGTGAACTTAAATTACGAGACTAAATTTTCTCGTAGTAACTAGCAGAGCAATGAGATACAGACAGAGGATGGGCGCCAGTGAACACAGTCCCACAGAACAACTGTTTTTTTTTCTTTCAAAAATCTATTTTCCCCATGTAGTTTGTCTTTACCTCTGTTACATGTCGGTTTTTATGTGAGAACAGAAATATTTTTATA